TAATTTAAAGATTGTTTGTATGTAGAAATGCCATCTCTTGCAAAGATAATGAATCTAAATAGTCAGTAGCAAAAATTGCATGATTATATCACTAGATTTAAAAAACCTATACTAGGTTATTATTTTCAGTTGCTTCTGGCTTTTGATTGTCTAATCTATTCTATATCTTATTTGATTTTAACTAATCTTTAAGAGAGAGCTTATTAGAAGAAAATCTTTAAGTTGATATTTTATTCTGCCAAATCAGATGATTTTTTTAAAAGTTAACAAACAGCTAGCACAACAGGCACTGCATACCTTTCCAGCCAATTATCTTCCTATAATGATGTGATCTGCTGTAGAATATAACATGCAAGTTCTTGCCTGTTCCTATTTCATACTTAATCAAAAATATTCTCAAAATATGGGTAGATTATTCTTATATAGATTTTGGAGAGATGGGAAAGTAAGCATATTTGTTGTTAGTTACTTTTCTTTATCATGTTTGGGGTATAGGTAATACTAATGTCCCTGACATTTTCCTAAGCATTTGAAGTATCTTCCTTTTTTCAGCAGTTTTGGGAATTGATCCCTCAGGGCCCTGAAAGTTGCAGAATATCTCTCGTCAGTATATTCTAACAGTAGTCATCCAGTTCGTGGTTTAGAAAACTTCTGCGTGACTACTGTTAAAACATAATTATCTTAACAAAAAACAGAAGCAAATTTCAGCTGGAACAGTGCTTTTTAAAAATCCAGCATTTTTCTCAGTTCAGAAGCTTAGGCTAGCTTTCTAGTTTTCATAGAGTCAGATTCATCTTCTTAATGATGGCTTTAAAAATATTTACTATTAAAGAGTATCTTTCAACCTGTTCATTTTACTTCTGGTCATTTTGCTAGTATCTTCTGTTTTCTTCTTTTTTGAGTCTGGCTTTCTTTTTCCTTTTCCAATCTGGATCATAAAAAGCCTTTACAAGCCACGAGGGATCTGTTTCATAGTATATGAAGATCAACTAAAAGGTCAAGATTCTCAAGAGAAACAATGAAAAAAAATAGGGAGTTAAGGTTGGCTAGCAGTACCAGAAATGAATGCTGCAGAGCAATAACCATAAAAACAATTTAGTACTGGGGGAAAAAAATAAGACATGTTGATCAGTGAAACAGATTAGATACGAAATGTACAGAAACAAACATAATAACAGTGTTAAATAAACCCAAAGACCCCAGCTACTGCAGTAAGGACTCATTTGACAAAAACAGCTGGGAAAACTGGAAAACAGTGACAGAAATTAGATTTAGAACATCTTATCCCCATATACCACAATGAATGCTAAATACATAAGTGGGCTAGATATAAAAAGTCACATAATAATGAATTTAGAAGAGCAAAGAACGAAATGCTTTCACCACCATAAATGAGGGAAAAGTTCATGACCAAAGTATGAAGAGAATCACAGAAGACAAAATGGACAATTTTAATTGCATAAAATTGAAAAGGTTTTTCACAAACAAAACTAATACAGTTAAAATTAGAAGGATATGAATAACTAGGAAAAATCTTTGCAGCAAGTTACTCTGAGAAAGGTCTCTTTTCTAAGATTTGTAAGGAACTGATTAATATACAATAAACAAGAGTCATTTTCCAGTAGATAATTAGTCAAAAGATATGATTATGAAGGTTTCAGAGGAAGAAATCCAAGGCATCAATGACCTTATGAATAATTCTCCAAATTACTAATAATTTGAAAAAGGCAAATTAAAACAACTTAGGGTTCTACCTCTCATACATCAGATTGGCAAAGATGACCAAAAAGGAAAAATTAAAATTATTGGAAGAGTGCAAGATAACAGGCACACTGATGCAGTGTTGGTATTGCTGTGAATAGATTCAGCCATTCTGGAAAGCAGTTTTACACTGCACACCAGAAGTCACTCAACTGCATACACTTCAACCTAATGATAACACTGCTAAGCCTTTACCTCAAAAAAAGAGGGAAAGGACCCATATGCCCAAAAATGTTTTATAGCAGCTTTTTTCTGGTAGAAAAGAACTGTAAAATAAAGGGGTGCCCATCAACTCAAGAACTGTTGAACTATGAAATATGCATGGAAAAGACTGTTATTGTCCCCTAAGAATGATGAAAGAAAAACCAGGGAGGACTTATAAGAATTAATATAAATTAAAGTTATCAGAACCAAGAAAACAATTTATGCAACAATGTTGTAAATACCGAAACGCTGAAAGTCTTAATAACTGATCAGTACAATGACCAACCATGATTCCAAAGGACTGATGATAAATCATGCTGCTACGTACTTTCTGATAGAAGAGAATTAAACTCAAGGTACATAATGAGACATACATTTTTGACATGCCCAAGGTGGAATTTTGTTTTGCTCAGACTATGTGTTATTTGTTACAGGGATTTTATTTTGCTTTAATTGTGTATCAGGGTAGGAGGGAAAGGGGAACTAATGATAGGGCTCCCTTTCTTCCAATAAAAAAGAGGGTCTTTAAGTATTTTTTTAAATGCAGAGAAGATAATGGAAGGAAAGTCAGAAAAAAACACAAATTTAGCCAGATAGCTTTGAAAGTTGTTACATGCTGAATTTCTTAAAAGGAACAGTTTCTGTGTGACAGAGATTCAGTTTCATGGACAGTCATGTCTAGTCCACTTTTTTGTTCTACTTTGTATATGGAAATGCTCATTTTATTTGATGTTTAAATTAAAAATTAAAAAAAACCCACAAGCTGTAGATTTATTTGTATCAATGGAGGAAAGATTAGCATTTAATACCTCAAGAAAGAATAATATTTTTCTAACTTCTATTTACCTCTGTTTACAATTTGTCTTGTAATTTTTCCACTAAGTATTGAGGATTACCTGGGACCCTCATGCCATACTGCATCTTTACTCAGGCAGCTGCAGAATGCTTTCACTGGAATGAGATATGTGGGTAGAGATAAATAGGTAACAGTGTTTATTTTGCCAAAAAATTTAATTTAATTAAACCTTTCAAGCCCAGTTACACCTAAAACTATTAGTTTAGGTTCTATATTTCCTACTATGGAGGTATTACTTTCTCAGTTCAGTTATGCCTTGAGCTCCAAAGCATTAGTAACTATTATTTATTTCAGATTTTTGTTTGTTTGTTTTAGGCAATTGGGGTAAAGTGACTTGCCCAGGGTCACACAGCTAGTAAGTGTTAAGTGTTTGGTGTGAGGCTAGATTTGAACTCAGATCCTCCTGACTTCAGGGCCGGTGCTCTATCCACTGTGCCACCTAGCTGCCCCTATTGCAGATTATTGATTAAAGACAATAGCATCCTTGATGTTGAAGGCAAGAGACCCTCTTGTTGGCTTCCCATTAACTTGTTCACCATCTATCATTTTCTTCTCTGTATTTTTTAAAATAATATTTAGGGCTATTAATATAGGAGTGGGGAACTTGCGGCCTTAATAAAAGGCCCTTAATAAAAGGATTTGTTCTGTAAAACTTGGACTCAGCCAAAAGGCCACACTCAAGGTCCTAGAAGGCCACATGTGCCCTCCAGGCTGCAGGTTCCACACCCCTGTCTTAATATCATCAGTGTGTCATCTTTATCTGCTTCCGTGTAGTTCGGTACAAATGAGTTTCTCCATTACAGGTGTTCCAGATATTACCCTGACCTAGAAAATGTCATTTTGCTGTAACATATTTAAGTCATCATAACTAATACTCTATAATGTTATTTGCCCAAGGTAGTAATTTCGTATTTATCAATATTATGAGGTAGAATATGAGACTTAGCAGCAGTAGCTCTTTTGAAAGACAGTCTATTTCCAGTCTTGCCTACTTTGCATGAATAAACGTTATTTCTATGACATTAAATATGGTATAATGTGTTTTTGTTAACCAGTTAAGGATGTTAGGAAAGCTAGTTCTTTATATCCTTATCCAGAAATATCAACTTTATTTGAAAGGACGATTTCATTTAAATCCTAACATATGCAATATTGTAAGTGCTGGTAGAAAGGAAAAAATAAAATAAAGGTCCTGCCCTCAAGATGCTTATAATTTGTGGAATATGAGAAGAAATAAGACATGTACATAAAAAACAATACGTGTTAGAATAGGTGAACATACAAAAAATTAAGGTGTTCTGAGACAGAGAAGTTCCCCTATCTAATTAGTTCTAGGAGGTGCTTAAGGCTTATTTCGGCTTGGTGTCAGAAAAAAAATTGTAAGAGAGTTGTCTTGCATTAGAAAGTGGTGAATTCCCCCTTATTGGAGGTATTTGAACAGAACTTTAATGACTACTTGGTAGTCATGTTATATAAATAAACATTTATATTATACAAATAAATATTATAAGTGTTCATCAAATAAATTCTTAGATTTGTATTTGGTATTGATTGAACTAGGTAACCACCGAGGTCTCCTCCAGCTCTAATTTTGTAGATAGAGGAAGGTTCTTGAAAGAGGTGTCATTTTAGTTTGCACTTAAGTTGTCTGATGGACGGATAGGATGGGGATGGGAAGGAAAAGGCATTCTGTATTCAAGGAGAATCATTCACAAAGATATAGAAATAAGAAAGCAAAGAACTGTTCCCCAAACCATGAGTACTTCGTTTTACAATGACAAACTGTGTAGACCTAGGGAAAGTATTCTGAGTTATAGATGAAGTCAGATTGTGGAGCACCTTGAATGCCAGCCTGAGGAATTTGATCTTTATGTGGTATGCAGTAAAAAAACGTTGAAGTTTTGAGCAGTGAAACAATGTGGTCTTTTTATTTCTACACTAGGAAGACCACTTTGATCACTGGGACTGGTAAGTGCATATGTGTTGGCACACAGAGTCACAGAATGTAACTTATCAGGAATAGATTTTGATGTAATATATGATGCAAAATAGGGCTTGCTTAAGGCCCAGCACATTCAAGTGACAGTTTTGCAACTATTCCAAATGATAGACTAATTTGGGGGAGAAAAAAATCTTGTGCTGTTCAGCGTACTAATAGCCTCTGTACTTTCTTCTGTAGGCAGGAAGCTCTCCTCGCTGCCATCAGTGAAAAAGATGCCAACATAGCTCTTTTGGAGCTTTCCTCCTCCAAGAAGAAGACCCAAGATGAGGTAGCTGCATTGAAACGTGAGAAGGATCGTCTGGTGCAGCAATTGAAACAGCAGGTATGATTAAATGAACAGTGGGAACCAAGTTAGGAAGGGCACTCTAGATCTGTCTACATTTCACTGCAGAATATTTCCTTCCTTCCTCCCTTCCTTCTTCCCTTCCTCCTTCCCTTCCTCCCCTTCCTTCCTTTCCTTCTATTCCTTCCCCTCCTTCCTTCCCTTCCCTCTCCTCTGCTTTATGGTTTAAAGTGCCATGTATTGTCTTAAATGGTTCATTTGTAATTACATTACATTTCTAATTACATATACCGAGTTGGCCTTTGTAAGTAAATGAGCTCATCTTTATTGCAAATCTCTTATGTCCCCAGGTACCTACTTCAGTATGTTTTGTGCTACTGCTGGATTAAGAAAAGAAAAAAAAAAGGTGATGCCTTATCTGTTTACTGTAGAGCGGAGACCCTTAACCTGAGATTCATGAACTTGTTTTAAAAATATTTTCAACTATATTCCAATATAATTGACTTCCTTTGTAAGCCTGTGTATTTTATTTTGTGAATTTTAAAACATTCTGAAAAGTAGTCCAGAGGCATCACTGGACTATCAGAAAAGGTCCAAGACACAAAAAAGATTAAGATTCACATCTAGCAACTTCAGGCATGAAGAGGACTTTATTGTAAAAGGATTTATAGTTCTTATGGATTAGGTAGATTTTGGAATAGTAAAGGAATGGGCAATATTTAGCCCAACTCTAACATCATTCCTTCCAAAATTTTGTGCCCAGTGTTTGTCTAAAACCTTCTACCTGCAAACATCAAAGAGCCAAAAGATACCCATTTTAAAGGACAGAGGTAGACCTGAGATCTTTGGCCATTCTCCTACCACCACTTTGTACTCTGTCCTCTTCTGTATCATTGTCCCCTACCCTTTTCTAATTGCATTACTTTTTTGTCTTGTTGGCTGTGTCATTCCACTTGAAACAATTAGAGGCAGAAAGCTTTTTCCAGAGGAGTTTTTTCTTCTTCCATTGTAGGGGGATACCAGTGATCAAACAGTTGTGTTTTTCAGTTTAACATTTAACATTTACCTGAATAAATATGGAATATTTGCACTATAAATTTATTTTTCCATTTTGCAGATCAATATTAAATGTGCTCAAAAGTTTACTTTATAATTCTATAACCTATACCTGAAAGAGTCCCCAACGATGTCCGTTTTTCACAAAATGGCATATACAACTCATAGGATTCATTTAAGTACAAGGAAAATTTTAGTATCGTAAGATTGTCTTTAGCAATAAGTAGAATTATCTGATTTTAGGATACTTGTGAAACAAACATCAAGCCTATTTCTTTTGCCATGTATTTCCATTAGCTTTTAGGGGACATTTTAAAGTGTCACTAAAAAGGTGCATGAGAAGAATGTTGCATATGCTTCCTGTTTTTATCTATTTTGCTTCACTATTTTTCTTTGCTGAAAAGGAAGATTCTCATTTGTGAGGGAGGCAGTATCAAATAACAGAAAGTGACTGTGGTATAAAGAATAAGAAACATAGTAAAGCAAAAAAAAAAAAGATGACTAGAAAAGGAGGTTGTTCTCATGAAATAAGAGCAAGGCATAACAAATGAACTACCCTTGTATGTAGTCTCAAATCACCAGTCAACAAGCATTTATTAGCACTTACTATGTACTATATATGACAAATTGGAGAAGATCTCAGAGAGAAAGTACTGGCATTAAGGAAGATCAAGAAAGGTTTCTTGTAGAACATGGGATTTTAGCTGGGACATGCAAGACAGGGTAGAGATGAAGAAGTAGAACATTCCAGGCATGAGGAACAGCCAATGAAAATGCCCAAAGTTGGGAGATGGAGTACCTTATATAGAGAGCTGCAAGGAGGTCTCTGTCAAAATATTGTAGAGTACGTGGAGATTAGTAAATTGTAATAAAACTGAAAGGGAGTATTGGGCCAGGTTATAAAGAGTTTTAAGTGACAAAGAGGGTATTTAATATTTGGTACTGGTGGTGGTAAGAAGCCAAGAGAATTTATTGATTGGGACTGGTGGGAGTAAAATGGTCAGATCTGTGGTTTAGGAAGATCACTTTGACAGGTGATTGGGGAATGGACCAGAATGGGGAGAGACTGAAGCAGTGAGACTTAGCTGTATGCTGTTGGGGCAGTCTAGGCGTGAGGAGATGAGGCCTGCATCTAAGAGGCGACAGTATCAGAGGAGTGAAAAGCAATATCCTAGATATGTGATGAAGGTAAAACCAATGGGGATTGGAAACAGATTGGATATGGGGAGTGAGAGGGTAAAGAGTCATGGATGACTATTATGTCATGAACCTGAGTTACTGGAAGGTGGTGTCCTTGAGAGTAATAGAGAAGTTTGAAAGAAGGAAGGATTTCTAGAGGAACTTTTGTAATTGGACAAGAAACAAACCAATTTACCCACAAAATTCTAAATTTAATTACATGGTAATTGTCGATGGATTCCAAATTCATACATAACCACTATATGAAAATGTCCCAAAAATCCTACAATATTATCCATTTAAGGATGAAGATGGAGCATTTCTGAGGAAAACTGTGATGATTCCTCCAGATTGTGCTTTTTTCCTCTCTCTCGTGCATGGATTCACAATCCTACCCACTCACAATACATCTGGGTTTATATGAGAGCAAAGGAAAGAGAGTTCTGCCAAAGACATTTTGGTTCTTTAATTTCTCTAAGAGCATGTATTTAAAGCTTGGATGAGGGAGAGGCCTTTTGGAAAGAGGATATGGCATCAATGTTGTTTTAATTTAAAGCTCCTAGACTTGAATTGCAAGAATGTGCCTCAATCTAGAGACGATTTCCTTACAGAATCCTAACACAGAATTAACTTGGAGTAGACTTTCCACTAAATGGAACAGCTGAATCTTGATTGGTCGTTGGCATTCACGTGGGGCCATTGCCATCATGAGATGGAGGTGGGGAAGGGATTTAAAAAGTGGCAGTCATTATCTAATGTGGTCCCAATTTACTTCCCCCCCCCAGTAGTTTGTTTCTCTGACTCATTCATAGCAAAGAGTCATTGGGGAAGCTTTTTCAGAGAGAGGGAGGGCCAATACAAGAAAACAAAGTTAAAGGTTGTCTAACAAGGTCCAGATGTGCTGTGGTGCGTGCCAGCCAGCATGTTCAGATTATAAGTCATGGCCTGCTGTGCTTGTCAAGCCAGCACCAGCAGTGGAATTAAGTAAAGCTAGAGAGAATTCTTTATGGCATTAATGTAATCTATTCAGTGACATAGTTTCACAAGGTGATCTCTTTCTGTGTATTTTTTCCCTTTTCAAGTAAAGATTTTTATAATTTTCACATAGTAATTGCTACAGTTTGAAAGTCTTGTTTTTTAACCGAGTTGCCAAAAAAAAAATTTGTTAAACGGTGGGTTAGAGTTTCTTAGTTAATTTCAGAGACTACAGAGCTCAGTTGCTGAAAAGGTTTCCTTTTATTTCATTTTACTTTTAAAAATGTTTTGTAATTGGCTTTGGATTTAACATCAGTTATTTGTGATTATATCCTAACTCCTGCCTGATGAGCCTTCCATTCCAACAAAGAGTCAGAGGATCTGAATTCTGTGTCCAGTCTCTGTCAGTTAATATCTCTGTGACTTTGGGCAAGGGACTTATCCTCAGTGGGACATAGTTTGCTTGAATGTAAAAATGAAGTGTTAGGCTAGATGACCTCTAAGGTGCCTTTCTGCTATAACATCTGGGATTTTTATGAGAAAAAGGTCAAATGACCAAAAAGATGGAAGACTAAGTGACCTTTTCTGTGATTCTCATGACCTCTCAAAATGCTGTAAAACTATAATACACAAGAGGTAAAATAATTGTAGCTTTCTCCACAGACTTAGATATCAAGAACCCCTCAGAAATAACAGCCTGATGAATTAACAGTAAAGAAGGCTAATCCTCATCATGTCTACCCAGCACCCTCTTCACCTCTGGCCCCTAGATTCTGGCAGGGCTGCACAAAGACCCATGGAGTTGTGCTGTGGGATCCATTTGGCAGTTATTTTCCTGCTGATACAGTCTCTGCCCGCACACACTGGCCCTGCCCTCATGACACTGTTCTGTGATAGTAAACAACAAAACTCAGTTCTTTGCCATACACATCTTCCTGCACCTGGTTTAGAGGAGGTAAAGGTATAGGAAAGCAGAAGCAGTCTCTGGGACAGCAGCTGCACTGCTCAGCCAGAGAATTTAAGAATGCAGTGTATTGGGGCAGGGCACCAGTGTGTGTGTGTGTGTGCGTGCATGCGGATGTGTATATGTGTGTATGGGCAGAAGAGAGGATGTGAGGAGAGTAGGACTCCACCAGGACTGAAGGACTAGGGTCTGCCATCCAGTGGGGCCTAGTACTATCACTGGAGACAAGGACCGTGGCTGACAAAAAGTGAATCCCCAGTGTGAGAGGAGGCTGGGACAGTTTTGAGATCCAGCCCTTAGAGGAATCCACCATCAAAATGGGGAGCAATAGGAGATTGAAAGGAAAAAATGACTGAAATTTTTAAGACTCAGGAAGAAAAAAAAGTGAGGTGGTTTTTTTTAATTTTTAGGCAAGTAGGGTTAAGTGACTTGCCTAGGGTCACACAGCTAGTAAGTGTCAAGTGTTTGGTCTGAGGCTGGATTTGAACTCAGGTCCTCCTGACTCCAAGGCCAGTGTTCTATCCACTGTGCCACCTAGCTGCCCCCCAAAAAAGTAAGTTAAAAACCTTGGGCACAAGTAAATAAATCAACAAGGAAGACGTTAATAAGAGAAGGAAAGATGCCATTTAGGACATTTTAATAAACATCTCTGTATAAATATTGCAAGAAAAATGGAAATGAATCAATACCTAAGGATGTAGAGGATCCTGTGCATTTCCCAAAGAGCATGGTACCTCAGCAGGATATTTCTATTTGGTTCAAGAAAGAAACAAGAATTGTAAGAGTGGAATTTATGACCTGCCCACAAAAAGTTGGCAGAATAGAAAAACTTGATAGTCTCTAAAGAAACAGAAGAGAAAAAAAA